CGGGCGGCCATCAGAACCTGAAGACGGCCTTGCCAAGTTCCGGTCGAAGTTCAGTCCTAACAGGTCTGAGCACCAGGGCTACCCGTCTCCGCCCATGTCAGAATCTCATTCCCCGTCTCGCCGAACAGCACAGCTTGAATCTGCGCGCCTCTCTTACCCTCCGCCGGGATCATCTCAGAGACAGGATAGCCTGACTCAACCGCCGACTCTACCATCGTTGTACGATCCGCGGTCTACGTCGGGAGCGCATGCTCTTCCCCTACAGCGGCCACTTTACCCCGGAGAACCCCAGCACAGGGGTCAAGCACTCCATTATCAACCCGGACGTGCTCACGAGCACCAATCTTACCCTCATTCCATCCCGCATAATTACGGGTATGGCTATCAAAACACCGGCCTGCCCCCTTATGCTGGAGTCCAGCACGGAGGCCCGATGGTGCAGCAAGGCGCGATGATCGCACCACCACCGTCAAGACCGACGAAGCCAGCCAGACGCACAAAAGCGCACGTTGCGTCAGCTTGTGTTAACTGCAAGAAGGCACATCTCAGCTGCGACGTCCAACGCCCGTGTGGTCGTTGCGTCGCTTCTGGAAAGCAGGTCAGTCTCTGCGGCGCGAAGTCAAACTCTGGCGAGTAATCTAACGCATCAAACAGGACACATGCAAAGATGTGCAGCACAAAAAGAGAGGAAGGCCACGATTGAGAGACGACAGAGAGTTCACTAGATCAGACGACGGAAGACCACCTAGCCAGCTCGTAGGAGCGCCACCTACCTCCGAACCTCACGCTCATCAAGCGCCTTACCCAGTATCTCAGCAATATCGACCCTTCGAACCCCAACGAAGTCTGGAGAGTACTGCGCACCAGAAGGAGCTTCATTCCGCTGCGTCTGCGCCCCGGGACGCGCCCAACAGCGTGGGTGACTACAGCGGAGTGCAGGCATCTCCCTACGGTGTGGGACCGAATTTGGCGTACCAAAAGCTGCCTGTCGTTTACCTAAATTTGGACCTGGTGATACAAAAAGCAAACCAGGCTTTCACGGACCTCGTATCGTTCCTCGGAGACATCAGGGGCAAGCATCTTGGCGAGCTTCTGGAACCACGGCAGAACGAGAGCATGCAGAAGCTGCGAAACGACTTGCGCGATGAGCGCGACGAACGTGAGCCGACGTACATGGCGCCCATCACCCCGGTTGGACAAGATCCCATGCGCGCGGTGATGGAGTCGGTTCAGGATCAGGACATTGACCATGTCACCCAGGGGTACACGAACCGGCCCATGTACCTCAGCTTTCGTCTGCCGGCTAGTGGACAGTACCAGTCGCTTTCGGTCCAAATCCGGCTTGCCAGGACGTCTCTGTACTTTGTGACGCTCGTCGTGTGCTCACCACCAAGACACGCGGGACCGACTCTGTTAACGCAGCAGTTAGCGCCCTCAACATCGCGACATACCTCTCAGACCATGTCCGCACCGACAGCAGTCTCGCAATTCACGCCGCATCAAGAGCGTCGAACGTCAACGACAAGCTCTGGACCAAACTCGCCCTTCATCAACATCTCCTCCATCCGCACGTCCCTCCCCACATTCAGTCCAAGCTCTTACAAGAGCAGCCCCTCGTACGGCTACTCTCCCACCGCAGGTCCAGAATCGGGCTACTTCCCGACGTACCAAGTCCCGCTGCAACCCAACAGCAGCGCATACCCCTCGCCATACGCACAACCCGCGCGCCCCACAGCAGCAACATCCGAACCTCTCCGCGAGCTCAACCGGCCTCCGCGACTCGAAGGCCTCCATCTGCCGCCCATTCGAACAGGCCCCGCGCCGCTTGGTTCCCCGCTCCACGTCGAAACAAGCGCTGCGGAACGCGAGCGTGTGCGAACGCACGACTCACCATCCAGTAGCGCCGAGCAGCGGAGGCCCGAGTCGCCTGACATGGGCAAGCGGCGGCGATTGAATATACATGAGGTGCTCGACTAGACCCGACAAGTCAAGTCGTCAAAGCCAGGAGGAGGTCGATTGATTGACGTTGCAATGCGCTCACGTTCCTGAGACGAGTCGGCCGGTGTGAGGAAGATTAGAACTGGTACGTGCAGCGGGGTCATTGCGGTTCGCGCGAAAAGAAGGGATCATGCGTGTTCCAACAGGCTGGCCGTGGCTCGTGGCTGGGCTGGCGGTAGAAGTGCGGAGGGTACCGACAGTCGGGTTCCCTTGTCTGACTGAAACTGAAACTCGGCGCTTTGCGAAGCGGAGGCGGGAATGGCGCATGTTGCACACGGACGGGACGACGACATGGATCTGATCTCATACGACGATTCTTTCCTCACGATATCTTACTTGTCGCTTCTTGAGTTGCATTTGCCTGCGGTAGTCGTTGTTTGCTGTCCTTGCATTTTGGGGCGTTGGTTACCCACTCGTTGTGTTGTTCTTCTGCGATGTTTTGTCGTAACAAGCCATATCTTGGGATTTTGCCCATTCGTCATCTCTTGCATATGACAGCGCGCTCATGGTCCTGCTCTTTCTATCGATATCACTGCTCTTGTCTTTGTCGCGATTAGCATTGCTTGACGTGCGTACGTTACTATTTGGCCTTGGCTGCTGCTTCTTTTCTGGTTACTCGTCGCATATTGCTCGTCGCTACGGCGATGGGTGGCTTGGAAACCTGATTTGATCCTGACAGCGTTGTTGTGCGTGTTGTCGTCTTCTCTCTTCGTATGCGTTGCTTTTGTGGGCGGGTCTTTGCGGTTCTTAACCAAGTACTCGTCGTACGGTGCGTTCACGTCTTGTACCACTGTTGATCCGTGCCCTCGCGTTGGTGTTTCATCGTCAACCCGGGACTGGGTTCTGAGTCGCTTTCCCGCCTCACTTGTATAGTAAACGCGTTCGCGCACGAATTGGAGGTCCATGGGTGTGGGCGGGAGTACTTGTCGTTTCCTGATGGGCGGTGGAGCAGCGATTGGGGGGCCAATTTGGGTCCGAGGGCAAGACATGGATTCGCTTGAAAGACCAGAAGGAGCGGAAGACAGCGATATCTCAGCAGCCAGACCACCACTATATCTATACGCACAAGTCGGAACTCTCAACCGACGACAAACACCACGGGAGATTACAAGGACAACAACGGTCACGTATGGTTCAAACTACATTTCTATTCTTGGTCCACCTCATCACCATACCACCGAGGTACCACGCTCTCTTTCGACAAGAGAGGCCCGGATACAAGTCCGGAAGTATATATGTGAACCTGTATATACCATGCATTCACGAGCGAAAGCAGTTTGGCTACAAGCTCTAAAGATAGTTATAGTTATGGGGGGGAGTGGGGGTTTTTCGGTTGGGAAAGTATTGGCTGCTAGGCCAGGTGGAGGATATACCCGCATTTGGTTTCTCGAATGTTGCAGAGGATTGGATGGAACACTTGAGGTGTATAGCGCAGAATTTGCTGGCTATGATTCGATTCTTGTTTGTATGTTACGAAGGTAGATATGAAGAGCAGAGATAGGATCTTTGAGTCCTCTTTCCACCCATTCTCCCCTGTTCAAAGTACCGACGCAGAGTGAAATGTGAAATGAGGTTGTCCAGAGCATGTAGATCTACGGCCCGTGGCGCTTGTAGTGCTATAAGCCTCGACATGTGAAACAGCTACTGCAGTTTGGCGAAACCTTAATGCTGGCGACGAACACGCTGTTCGCGCATTCCAACCTACCAGGCGAGGCGGAACGCGAGATAGGGTGACAGCCGAGATGAGGATGCTGGGGGCGAGACTCATTCAATATGACGCGCAGAGATGGAGGTGAATAGTGCAAGGTGTTTATTGTGTATGCAGTGGTAAGAACAAATGGGTATCTTGATTATGAAAGTATGGTCCATGGGCGCCAGCTGCTGACCTTGGAGATAGCCGGGCGCAGGCGACAGAGCGCTGGATCCTGGACATCTGTGATCGCTACCGCCTCTGGGACAGCGACTCTTGTATGCGGGATACAGAGGAGACACTGGAGGTGCTCATCCCAGAGCCTTGACCTTCTTCTTCTTCTTCTTTGTACCATCAGCGGCCTCTGGTTTCTTCCCCTGTGCAAACTCCCTCCAGCTGTTGATGCGCGTATCCCTAGTCTTTTCCCAGGCTTCATCTTGCTCCCTCTTCCTCTTGCGCTCCTTGATCTCCTCGTCTTCCTTCCTCTGTGCACGTCCCTCCTCTCTCATAGCAGCCTTCTGTTGCCTCTGCTTCCTCATCTCGTTGTCTCGAATGACCCAGATGACCTTTTGCCTCCACTCCTTCGCAAACTCCTCGCCACGCGTCTCCTCGTCGTCGGCTGTGAGCTTCTTCTCCCGCATGAGCAGCATGCGCGCATCGGCAATGTTCTCGTCTAGCTCGGCGCGCAGCTTCTCGTCGAGGAGGACGGTCTGGGCTTTCTTGAGGCGGTCGAAGGCATCGGGGGCGAGCTCGTTTTTGGTCTTGTCGGGATGGATGAGGAGGGACTTGGCGCGGTAGACTTTCTTGATGTCGGATTCGGGGACACCGGGTTGCAGGCCGAGGACGGCGTAGGCGTCGAGACTGAAGACGCTGCGGATGCCTGGATGTGTTAGTTAAAGTCGCTCCATAGTAATAAGTGAGCATAGGTCTCAACTTACGGTCTATCTCAGCGTCCTTGTCAAGCTCCTTGCCGAGACCTGCGAGCTGAGCGTCGATATCATCGTCCGCCATGGTGGGTTGTAGACGCGTTGTTTGGGGTCGAGTGTAGATGATGTGGTGTGTAGTCGATTGGAGGTCGGGAAATGAATAAGCCGAATTCTGCACGTCGCACTAAGCCCTGTACAGTGGTGTTGGAGAGTGAAAGTGAAAGTGAAAATAGCAGCTCGCGATGCGATGGCGCGTGAATGCGTGAATCCCCGCGGCGAAGCGCACGGGCCCACCGAGGCCGAAAGTTCTCCACCAAAAAGTTCTCTCGCGATGCGCCAGTCGACATCAACACCGAAGCAAGCCGAAGACTCGATATCGCGCCGACATGGTCGCATCTGGAATCACTGGTCGCACGCGGCCTTTCAAGCCCAAGAAGAGGGAGAATCTCCAGAAGAGGAAGCGCGACGATGTGGACGTGGAGAAGCTGGAGCAGGCCGTCCAGCAGCTGGTATGAACGCGCCGATATACAGGAGCCATGGAGCGCAATGAGCTGACTGAATATATAGGACCCCAAGAATGGAAAGTACAAAGACTTCACCGACCTCCCGCTTTCAGACCCGACCAAGCAAGGCCTCAAGTCATCGCATTTCGCCGTCATGACCGACGTTCAAGCCAAAGCCATACCCTTAGCTCTGCTGGGACACGATATACTCGGTGCTGCAAAGACAGGTAGCGGAAAGACACTCTCCTTCATCATACCCGTCCTAGAGAACCTATACCGGCTGCAGCACATTGGCCCCGATGCCGGCTTGGGCGCCTTGATCCTATCGCCAACTCGAGAACTTGCGATTCAGATATTCGACGTCCTGCGCAAGATCGGACGACACGGACATATGTTTGCGGCGGGTCTGCTGATTGGAGGAAAGAGCTTACAGGACGAGAGGGAGGCTCTGACCAAGATGAACATAGTCGTCGCCACGCCCGGTCGCATGTTGCAGCACTTGTCGCAAACAGCAGCCTTCAGTGTGGACGACCTGAAAATGTTGGTGCTGGACGAAGCGGATCGAATCCTTGACATGGGCTTCCAGCGCGACGTGGACGCAATCGTCGAATACCTTCCCAAGGAAAGACAGACGCTGCTCTTCTCGGCTACCCAATCAAAGAAGGTGTCCGACCTTGCGCGCTTGAGCCTCCAAGACCCGGAATACGTATCTGTACACGCCGAAGACAAGAGCGCAACTCCAAAGGGCCTCACGCAAAACTACATAGTCTGCCCCATCGAAGAGAAGCTGGACACCCTCTGGAGTTTCATACAAGCGAGCAAGAAGTCAAAGATTCTTTGCTTCTTCTCATCTGCAAAGACTGTCCGATTCGTCTACGAGTCTTTCCGTCATATGCAGCCCGGTATACCACTCCTTCACATACACGGTCGTCAAAAGCAGGGAGCTCGACTCGACACAACAGCAAAGTTCTCCGCGGCGAAACATTCCTGCCTGTTTGCTACAGACGTCGCAGCCCGAGGACTGGATTTCCCAGCAGTCGACTTCGTAATACAGGTCGACTGCCCTGACGATGTCGATACCTACATCCACCGCGTAGGTCGAACAGCACGATACAACCGGGAGGGACGGGGAGTGCTATTCTTGGCACCAAGCGAAGAGGAGGGTATGCTGAAGCGTCTGGAGGCTAAGAGAGTACCCGTCGAGATGATCAACGTGCGCCAGAAGAAGCGTCAGTCAATCAAGGACCAGCTACAGAACATGTGCTTCCAGGATCCAGCTCTGAAGTATCTCGGCCAAAAGGCCTTCATGACGCACGTCAAGTCGATATATCTACAGAAAGACAAGGAAGTCTTCAAGCTCAAAGAGTACAATCTGGAAGCATACGCCTCTAGCTTGGGTCTGCCAGGAGCGCCAAAGATCAAGTTCTTGAAGGATGACAACAGCAAACAGAAGAAGCAGGCATCAAGACAGATGATCGAGGTTTCGGACTCCTCTGACGCTGAAGAGACGGCCAAGGCAGACAAACCTGTGCGAACCAAGTACGACCGCATGTTCGAGCGCAAGAACCAGGATGTTTTGGGAGAACATTATCGGAAACTGGTCAGGGATGGAGATGATGCGGCCGCGGACGAATTCAGTGGTGCTGGAGCGACCAACAACGCGGCCGACGACGACTTCATGGCCGTCAAACGACGAATCCCAGCGGAGGACGATGCCAGCGATGTTGACGCTGAGAAGGCTCCCGAAGTTCCACCCGGCGGTCGCCTTGTTCACATTGCCGGTGCATCGCAACCCATCGTTGTCGACAGTAATCGCCGCGAGAAACTCCTCCAATCCAAGAAAAAGCTCACCAAACTCATGGACAAGGGAAAGAAACTTGTCTACGACGACGACGGCAACCCGCACGAAATCTACGAACTCGAAGACGAAGAGCAATGGCGCGCCAAGGGTCTACCAGAAGAGCAACGCCAGAAGTTCATCGAAGCAACACGAGAAGTCGTTCAAGCCGCCGATGTCGAAGACAAAGCGACTGCAAAAGCGAAGAGGAAGGAGAAGATGCTTAAACGCAAAGAAAGAGAGCGGGCTAAGCAAGCTGGTGAAGCTGGTGACGATAGTGACGATGCGGGTGTCGAGCTTCCCGATCCCGGTGAGGATCTCCTTGCAAACTTCAGGGCGGACGCGGAATACAGTGACGAGGAAGACGAAGAGCAAGAAGAGCAGCCGAAGAAGCAGAAGAAGTGGTTCCAGTCTGATTCTGAAGACGAGGAAAAGACTGAGAAGAGGAGGAAGAAGAAGGCCAAGGCGGCGCATAGAGTGGAGGAGCCGGAGACGTTGGAGGATATGGAGGCGCTCGCTGCGGGTCTGCTGGACTAGCTGTCACGTATCGGCGTGTGAATGTTTTTATAATGCCATACGATTATCAAGTTTTCACCAAAGGTCTCGTTTTACACTCCCCACAACTACGATTATGCGGCCTTCAAAAGTCGAATTATCTATCACGACTACAAAATATCGGACCCATCCCTTCGCCCCCAAACCGACGCTTGCTTACCGAAACTCGTACCCGGTCGTTAGCAGGGGTGGGCTTACCATGCGGTTGGTATTGCCGGTATACAACCTCGCATGCACTGTATAGTGCTGGATCGGTAGGCTAAATACACACTTGTTGAGCCTCTTCCATCCGTCTCCCGGTTACGATACGAGGCTTTATATGACGTGTAGATGAAAACGCATTGGTGGGTTTCTATCTTGGGAATGTGGTGGTGCGAGGGAATATCAGGGAGTACATCTCGTGTTCCGTGTAGGCGGTGGGTGTAAGAGTAGCAAGGGGTATGTATACTATATACAGGCCTACGTTCCTGGGTTTTGTGTCTCTTCGACCGATGTAAAGGCATCGGATACAAAGCAAAATCTTATAACAGCTCCGTGCGGTGTCACTCTACTTCCACTCCGTCTCTTCTGCCATCCCAACAACCCTCCCTCACGATGCATCTCCCCACCCCCCTCCTCATCGCTTTATCCTCCCTCCTCACCACCACAACCAGCACTCCAATCCTCCCCCGCGCCGCCCCCATCGGCACACCCCACAACATCTACCTCAGCACCTGCACAACCCGCTCCCTCCTCTCAGACTCCACCCTCTCCTCCGCCATCCTCTACACCGGCCCCGCCTCCAGCACCTCCCCCACCGACATCGGCACCGGCTCTTCCTCACGCGCCATCCAATGGGCCGGCTTCACACGGCGTGTCGATCTCGAATCCGGGGTGTTTGAGTCGAAGATTAGTCAGAGTGCTGATACTTTTGCGAAGAGTGAACTAGCTGGGTCGGCGTTGTTGAGTGGTACGAATGGGGGCAAGGAGGAGTTTGTGTGCTTTAGGGATGGAGTGAGTACGTTTCGGTTTGGAGGAGGGGTTGTGGGGGATAGTGGGGAGACGACGGTCTGTGTAGCTGAGTTTTGGTGTGCGAGTGTGGGGGTTTAGGTTAGGAGAGAGGTGGTGGTGCATGGCATTGGATTGGGTCTTTAAACGTGTTTTGACATGCATTTTTGGAAATAAGGCTTATGAGAGACTTGGAAATTCTGCTTTGAACTTGCCAGACGTTTTGCCATTCTTGATAAGTAGCAATGGTTAGCAATCCGCCATTCGTGCTCACAACTTCGTGGTATCATAACCACCATGAAGCATCCTGAAGTTCTTGCTGCCAAAAAAAAATTCTTCTTACTGTGCACCCTTCATACAGGCCAAAAAAAACACGTCAAAAACATACAACAGCGATTTTTTCGCAAGTGGTCACCCACCTTACTACTAGCTCGCCGGTCAAAGGCTTAACGTGTGGAGAGCGAACGGGATCCTGTGTTTGTCCTTGGCCTGTGGTCGTATGTGAAGGAAATGGCGGATATAGCCATATAAATTGCTGGGGTCGTGGACCTGACATCGAGGATGGGAGAATGAAAGCAATTCGAGGAAAGACCGGAGAAGTGTGGAAGGCCCTCAACAAGTACACAGAGTATGATTGAGTATGTAAGAAATGAGTACTCTTGCTGTTTTGTTCCATAACAAAAGTTGCAATGGGCATGCGGGTGCAGTGGAGATACCAGATGTCGGTAGCGCTGCAACAGCAAACATCCTGCAGAAAGAGTGTAGAACCGCATACTACCTAGGTATGTATGACGTACATGACAGATCTCGTCTAACCTGCCTCATCCAAAACCTTTCAAAAATGCACATTCCCGAGATCCCATTTCCAACCATACCTAGATATGCACCTCCGGTAATAGTCGCTTTGGCGTTCCAGCTGTCCACACCCGCGAGCGTAGATCATCGAGACAACTACTCCACAACTAATTTCCCGTTCCTGAACCTGGCTTCCTACGCTCCTCAATAGCGTACCGAAGTAGACTTACATACAGCTCGGCTACGACTGCCCATCGTAATTTCAACGTGTGTGACTTCTTGGGACCGAAGAATGTCACGAACCACGGTACGGAAGTGCAAACTTATGTCCGATCGCGGGTAAGTTCCTGGCTAGAGCTCTCGGGCTGTAGTCTCGCCGGCGGTTTCCTGCCCTCTAAGCGACGGAATGGTCGCGATCGATACGGAGATTTTAGTTGGGGGTTGATGTTTCAACTGTGTTGTAAGCCACGCTGAGGACACAACGATAGCGATTCAGGTACCACGTAGACGTTACTAAACGGCTAACGGCACAACGTGGCCTCACCCGTTTTTTTCACATGATTTACAGCAATGAGCAAGCATGTGCACGACTCACTCGGTCAATCTCCGCGGTACCGTGCCACTTCCCTCAATTCCACTATCACAATCACAACCTTGGAACGCATGAAGGAGCAAAGAGCGGAGAAATTGCACCGAAGCAAAACAAACATAGTCCATCCTACTTGCATGAAGGCTTCGATACGAAAGAAAAGCAAGCGGACATGGCAGTGGAGCTGAAAGAAGCAGTGTGAAGTAGCCTAGCACAAGTGTATGCAGCCGACTATATGCGGGTAGCGGGTACCTCACCCACCTCCTCTTCTTCATCTAGATTCCTTTTGCTTGTGATAACTGCTTTTCTCCTCCCGCGGCTGCAGTGTTATGCAATGCACAAGGATAATTCTCCATCACTAACTAACGCATGCAGCGACTGCACGAAATGATCACTCCTGCATTCCAACGTTTTCCCCACTATCTCACACAGCATCCACCCTCCTCGTACTCCATCTCTTCGGCGCATTTCCCTACCGTATCGATACGGTCGGCCCGTCACGAAGTAACGGCATCCGCCCTCTAAAAGTTTGGTCCGTTGAGTAATGCCTCTCAAAACCACAGTCAACGTCCGCGGGTAAGGAAAATTAGCCCACATCGCTCGCGCCATGCAGGGGCTCAGGGGCTGGCTGGTGCGGCGGTGCGGCGCAGGTCGGAAAAAGGCGCCAAAAGGAACGACGAGGAAAAAAGAGAAAAAAGGGAAATAGAGAGAGCGAAACTACATAGCGATAACGTCACGGGTTTATGCGAACGGTTAGTAGCGAGGTAGAGGGGGTGTGGGTTGCTGCTAGTGACGTTTCCGCGGGGGGAGGAAGGTCGCGTGAAGGGGATTGCCGGGTCTTTGGATGGTGGGTTGGAATGTGGCTGGGCGTGTGGGATCGAGATGAGCATGATGAATGCGGATGTTGGTGTAGAGAATGTAGTTATTTGGTTAGTCGTCAAGATTAGACTGCACGGAAATGAACGATGCCAAAGAGGGTGAACTCATGCCGAAGCATATTGATTCCATTTGCAAGTCTGCATAGCTGCATTCTTCTAGACTTAATGGGGTGTTAATACACCCAGTCCCTGTGATTCATTATTCCATTACTCCAGCTGACTCCCGTCAGACAAGACATATCCAAAGATACAGAAGCCACCATGCCCTCCCAGCCTTCGAACAAATGAGAAAAACATACACCAGTAAAGGAAAAAACAATGTACTACGCTGAGCAAACGACGTTTCGTGATATCCAGTCCTCCGTAAATACAAAGGAATCCGGGTGTGTGAGATCAAGTAAACGCTTTTAACTCCTTGGTGGCAACGCCCTGCGCCAAATCGTGATAGTATCCAAGATTGTGTGCCGTATTAAGATTATGCCTCCATGTGTGCCCATGAATGAGAGAGTGAAAGAAATAAAGAGAAAAGAGTATGCCGTATCGCCGTAACAGACTGGCAAAGAATAAAAACGCATCGACGAAAAGTCCGGGTATAGTCAAGAAGCGAAGGTCAACGTTGCGATAAGCATGCTATCAGGTTTGAAGCTACTACCCTCTAAAGTCCCCTGGTCCCTGGTTGGCGAAGATGTAGCTCTTGGGCTGGGGTTCGGTCGTTCGCCGTATGAGGTTTCCATGCGGGTCCGTGCCTTGAGGTGGTGTGTACTGGTGTACGAGGAAGTCGGGCATGGCGGAGACTTGGGGCGCGAAGGGAACGTTGTGATGGATGCCACTCAATGACATGTCCTTGTAGTCGTCATACATGTTTCCGCCCTGCATGTACTGGACATTGCTGTCATCGCCTTGGGCCTGAGCAGTGTCAGGTAGCGATGGTCGCCTGAAGTGCGAGGGCTTCGGTTGTTGAATCGTAAGATCGGTTGTTGAATGGAAAGCTGCACGCATCTGGGGTTGCTGCATGTATGATGTTCGAGGGAAGTGCTGCTGTGTCGCTGGTGCTGACTGCGGAGGTGTGTCGCGGTATAAAGCGTCGTTTGCAAAGCGCGATTGCAGATCCATTGATGAAGATGGCGGTGAAGTGCTCTTCGCAATCACGTTTCCAGATTGGTCGTTGGACCAGTTCGCGTGCATGCTCTCTGGGCTGTTGTGATCCGGCATCGCGGAATGAGGTCTTATCACGGCAGCACCACCCCAATAGTTGCCGAAATCTTGTGGTGTCAGTGGAGTTGGTGGTGCTAGACTACCGCCTTGTCCAATTGTGGTGGTGCTCGAAGTCGAGAAAGTTCGTGCGAACTTGGGCGACGCAGCAGCATCGGAGAAGCTCATAGCCATAGGTGAGCGTTGCGCTGAACCTGGCTGTGATTTTTGAACACGACCCCCAGCATTCGCAATTCCAGTTGATCGGATCCGGCGGATGACCTTGTCGTGGTTGCCTCCTGGTGATGGCATGGGGGCAGAATACGAGGCGCTCCTCATTGCGCTGGAATTCAGGTTGACTGGGCGTTTCTGTCTTCTCGCAGCGATGCTTGAATGCTGATCTGATTGTTGGAAGCCCTCCGGAGTACCGTTTCGGATGTGGATCGCGTCCATGTTGTTGGCCAGGTTGCTGCTTGAAGAGTTTCTTCGGGCAAACGCATCCTCGCGGAAGTGCAGTGGGATGTCGAGATCAGAGGGCGCGGCACTGAGCTTCCGTGCTTGTTCCGGTGAAGTGAGGATGGCGTGTGCAGACGAGTTTGGCTGTTGGTAGAAGTTCGACTGCGGGTACATTTGGTTTGAGCCATCTTGCGGCCAGAATGGAAGCGTCTGTTCGGAGGCTGAAGCCTGAGCAAGACTGTATGGTGCGAATTGATCCTCTGGTTCCTCGACCTGCTTGGGCTGTGCCATTTGCGATGGATCCTCTGTCCAGCCGGTGTAAACCGAGTTCAAAGAGGCGATGGATGGAGGTGTTGGCCCGTTTGGTGATTGCGTGGTGCCAGATGACTGGGTGCCATTGTATGGGGACGCGTCAGACGAGATGGATCCTGTACTTTGCTGAGCTTCTGCAGATGTTGAGTTGGTGGTGTTGGTCGCAGCAAGTGCCGAGTAGTCTATCTGGAAGTCCGCGAAGTTGTCAAATTCTGGGTGTGAAGGGGCGATGTCGCTGGGCATGGACGCAGAAACCGAAAAGGCACCCAGGTCGCTGGAGTACGCATTGGGCAGCCCGTTGACGCCGTTGTTTTCGTAAGAGAAGCCTTGCTCTTGCGCATTGAGACCCATGCCACTGTTGTGCATGTAGGCACCGTTGGTCGCAGCCATGATCGAGTGCATGAGGTCGTTGGAGCGGTACGATGCGGAACGGTCGGGCTCCGGGACTGCGTGGAGGGCGTTTTGCATGTCGTATTGTTGTTGCTGCTGCTGTTGATGCTGTTGGTGCTGGTGCTGGTGCTGGTGCGGGTGCTGCAGTATGAGCTGAGGGCCTAGGTCGAGGGCTGATGGTCCTTCGCCCGTTTGCACAGGGAGCGTTGCAGGGCTGATGTCAGCGTTCGGATAGAAGTCCGGCTGCATGAGCATATGCGGATGTTGCTGCTCTTGCGGGTGCGCGTAGTGGTTAGACATGACGGGCACGTGCTGGTGTCCAAACGGAAGGCTCATGGTCATGTTGTACTGGTTCATTAGCTTCTTGCGGTCCTGCTTGACTTTGGCTCTGCGGTTCTGGAACCAGTTCTGCAGTCGTGTTAGCGACGCAAGGCATACATCATGACAGGACACTTGCGTTGATCTTGTCCAGTGGCACGCCGAGGCGCGTCGCGAACTCCTTCTTTACATTGGTACTTGGCTTGTGCTGCGCCAGAAAGTGCTGCTCGAGGATGTCGTGCTGGTCCTTGGTGAGGCGGGGTTTGACATCGCTGCCAGGCTGCTTGGGGGCAGAGGGTGCCGTCGTCGAGGCCCCGCTAGAATCCATGGCGGCGCGCACAGCGGCAATACAGGCAGAGCGACTTCAGAGGGGCGCAGAATCAAGGGCGACGAGGGCTGCAATAAAGTCGTCGGCGTCGGCGCGTTCGGGTAGTGACAGGTGGGTGCAGCTGTGGAAGGCGGAATCTGGGGCGCTGGTGATGGGCGATAATGCGTAGAGCACGGATGCACGGGATGCACCGAGACGGGTCGGCGCTGGGATAGATATGTGTCGAGGGAAGATGCCAGTAATGGTAGCGAGTGACGATTACGAAGGGGAGCGAAAACAACAGCAGTAGACTCTATATCTACAATAGAAAAACGAGGGTATTCAGCGCGACGGCGCGGTAGGGAAAGGCACGAAGCGAACGACGACGGAGAAGAAGAGCAGGAGGAGCGATCAGGTTGTTGGCTGCCCAGGTGCCGCTTGGTTGGTCGGAGGTGCTAACTTGCTAAGCCACTGAACCCCCCAGCATGCATTATGCTGCTCCGGCACAAAAATAGTTTCGTGACACTCGTCGTCTCCGCTCAGCACACCTGAATCCTGGAGAAGACGCACCGGATGATTCGATCTTCTGTTTCTTGCATCTGCTCGCCCTCCTGTCCGTCGAGGGCTGCCACACGCTCGCATACACATAGACTTACAGCACTGGCCGGCACGCCCAACCCCGGCGCGCAATCGTGAAGCGCGCCCAGGGGCACTCTCCTGCCTCACGCCAATTGGTCCGGCGGTGGAGCGAGCTGCGGCGGCGGCTGTGATCCGCCCTCGGGCGGGAGACATGTCCCACTGATTTGAAGGCGATGGATGGTGCTGCAGCTTGGGCCTTCCCCCGTTCGGAGAATATACATGAGCGTGTGAGAGTGCATGTTAATGCCAACGCAGCCTGCCTGCTCAACCACGTTCCACGTCAAATGTCTAGTCACCGTCGGCGGCGGCATGGCTTCAACGTGGGCAACGGGCTCGAGCGCTGCTTTGAGCTGATGGCGTCAACATTGCGCTCGCCGTCGTGCCGACATCCTGTGCCTCTCACGACTCGCCGAGTAGCTCTTTGTCAGTAACCGCTTCCGGTCCGAGTCGACCATCTGTGTGACGAGATGCCCCCCGGGCGCATGGCCAAGGGGCATATCGCGCCGCTGATCTGCTGGCTCGGAAGTCGGCGCACATGTTTTGGCAACATATCGACGGTTCCTGAGCGTACCTTGCAGCAAAGGGGCTTCCGTACCACCTGCGAAACTCAAATTGGCCCCAGCTTGTCCTACAAACTTCGTGTGTTGACTGACTTGGGCGACGGATAATCCCAGCCTAGCTCGGAAGACTCAGTGCGCCCCCAGCTGGGGGACCCGCTGGCCCAAACCAAAAAACCTCGTGCTGCAAGGGCGTCCCTATCATGCGCTGCACCCTGCCGACTATCAGACGTCCTCGCCAACCCGTCTGAACTTAGTCTTCTTTGCGAGTCTGCTACGCCAGCTGGTCGTGTCGCACCACAGAGACGGCACACCCAGCTGACGTCTTCGACTGCAGTAGCTTGTGGTGCCGTCGTCTTTCCAGAAAACAGTTCGATGGGGCGCAGACTGCTCGAAATGGAGTATTTCATGCGACGCGCTGCATTCCGTGATTCCCGTACAGGGAGGATGATACGGCGAGTCGAACAAGGCTAGCACTCCAAGCGACACTCCTGCATGCTGTTTAAGGGTCGCGAGGCTGTGCACGCATGAAGCAGATTTCAACCTCCAAACATTGTTGCTTCGCCGCACAATCGGTCTCCGACCTCATCTTCCATCCAATCTACGGCTTATCGTAAGCTTCAACCGTCTGACTGCAGCTCAGTCACCGATGTCAACTGAGCTTGCAGTAAACCTGAACATGTCGAGTAAGCAGGCTCACGATCCTGGCAAAATACTAAATCGCCCACACAAAGACGAGTAAGGTAACAGTCGGTGTTGATTCTCTTCGCTTAGACTAAGGCATCTGCGATCTGTATGTCTCCTTGCCCTGTTGCTTTGTCCCATGATGTCAGCGTGACACTGCGCATGTCCTTGACAATGTAATCTGCGCCAGCTTCTATCAGCTGTTCTAGCGTATGTGTGGTGTAAAGTCCCACCACGACGAACCCTGCTGCCTTTCCAGACTTGACGCCTGCAGGCGCATCTTCGAAGACAATGATGGAAGATTTGTTTTCTTGGAGCCCCAGCTTCTTTGCACCCATCTGGTAGGGCGCCGGGTCTGGCTTGCCGTTGGGCACATCTTCTGCCGTTACGAGATTCTTGGGGTGCGCCAGCTTCATGACATCGAGCCAGCCTTGCACAAGAGGTCGCGTGCCTGAGGTAACAATGGACCATGGAACAAGGTTCTCTTCGAGCTTGTCCAACAGAGCTCGTGAACCGGGAATCTCAATGGCGTCTTGCCCGAATTCCTTCGGAATCAACCCTTCTGCTTGGGAGATATCTTATCTGTCAGATGAGTGCTTTTGCCAAAATGAAGATATGGCGCTTACACTCCTCATTTGCGAGCTTTGGCTCATAGATCTTAAGGACGTCGATCGACCTTCGACCATGTGATGAAGCGAGGATGACATTAGGATCGACACCTATCTCTTTCCCAATCCTGATGCAGTCATGTAAGCTTGAAGACGTGAACATGCTCGGCTGTTACTTACTTGTGCCAATGCTTCACAATGGCCTCTGTGGAATCGATGATAGTCCCACTACCTATATTAGCTCACTGGTAGGATGCTTTCAATGAATATAACGCACTCCATATCAAAGAGCTGTAGGTGATGATATATTAGTATCAGTTTGCGATGCAAGTAAGCATGCTTCTTACCAAGCCATGGAAGGTGATTGTTTTGGCAGGTGCCGAGAAGGAGGGTTCTGATACAGTCATAATGTGAAGTTAGAATTGAGATGAGTCGATTCTCAGTCAACAAGATCAAGATGTCGCAATGATATAGTGAAGTACCCGAGCGGACTATTGTAGATGTACACCTGGTGGGAAAGAGAATACATTGTCGCGCTAACTCGTTCCGGTATCGGATCCGACAACTGCCGATGATGCAGCCAATCATGGTGTCGGCAACCAAAAGATACTAGTCGCGACGCTGGAGACACAGCCGCGAAGCCTGGCCTGCATTTGACGTTCCAGAAGATAGAAGGAGGATACAGATGGATCTTTTTCCATTTGTGTTGTTAGAGAGCGCGAGAGTTGAGCATGGCCAGGGCCGCGGGGGTGGGGCTAAAGCTAGCTAGGCGGACACAAGCGGCAGAACTTTTCACGTGCCGAACTTTTTCTGGATCGGCTAGAACTTTTCTGTAGGCGATTGCGATAACATACACCACGCCAACAAGTCAATATGAAGGTCGGAAGTAAGGCTTCTCACAGATTTCAGCCCCGAAACAGCACTAACGATCACTTCAGAGCCAAAGTCGAAGCGCGTACCCGTGCGGTTAAGGCACAAAATCGAGAAGGCTTCAGCGGCGAAGCAGAAGAAGGCGAAGAAGCTTGCCAAGAAGGTACTGCCACCATGCGCAACTACAGCGCTCGTATTCTGACGTATATAGGATCCGACATGGCGCTCCAAGACCAAGAAGGAACCCGGCATCCCCAACCTGTTTCCCTACAAAGACAAGATCCTCGCAGAAGTGGAGGAGCAGCGCAGGAGGAAGGAAGAAGACAATGCGCGCCGACGCCAGCTAGCCAAGGAGCAACAACAGAAGGGCGCAACCGCCGAGGATGTCATGGAGGATGACGAAGAGTTTGAGCAATTCGACGCTGAAGGCGATGAGCTACTTGCCGATGACAGCGAAGATGAGGACTCGATGCAGGTGGTAAGTCTGAGTGGTTGACATACGATGCGCGACCGTACTAATATCACGCAGGACAACAAGTTCAATCCTATGGCAGCTCTCCTAGCTTCCGCCAAAGCGCGCGCCGCAGAATTCGAGAAGAACGACGACCCAGACGCCATGGAAGACAGCGAAGAAGACGAATCGGATGGTGATGATGCTGTCAAGGTCCGCAAAGATGCGTCAAGAAAACAGTTCGACAAGGTGTACAAGCAGGTTGTCGACGCCGCAGATGTTGTTCTGTACGTGCTCGATGCTCGCGACCCAATGGGAACACGATCGAAAGAGGTGGAGCAGGCAGTCATGGCAGCCGACCGTTCAAGCAAGCGCTTGATATTCATCCTCAACAAGATCGACTTGGTCCCACCGCCGGTTCTTCGCGCATGGTTGATTCATCTACGTCGCTCATTCCCTACTCTTCCTCTACGTGCGTCGAAATCTGCGCCCAACGCGCAAACCTTCGAGCACAAGGACCTCTCAATCAAGGGAACATCCGAGACACTCTTCAAGGCTCTTAAGACCTTCGCTGAGTCCCGTCAGTTGAAGCGCGCAGTCCACGTCGGAATCATTGGATTTCCCAACGTTGGCAAATCATCCGTCATCAATGCCTTGACATCGAGAGTAGGCGGCAAGGCTGCTGGATGTCCTACCGGTGCTGAGGCAGGAGTTACCACCAGTTTGCGCGAAGTCAAGATCGACAACAAATTGAAACTTATCGACTCGCCTGGTATCGTTTTCCCTAACACGGAAGGCTCCAAGGACAGCAAAGTACAACAGAAGGCGCGCCTGATTTTGCTCAATGCCGTACCCCCGAAAGAGATTGACGACCCTGTTCCCGCTGTCAGTCTGCTCATTAAGAGACTGTCGTCCTCGGAGGAGCTTTTCTCGAAATTGATGGCAGTCTACGATTTACCTCCCCTACACGCTGTGGGCAACGACAGGACGACCGACTTCTTGGTTCAAGTGGCAAGGAAGAGAGGCCGTCTGGGCAAGGGCGGTGTACCCAACTTGCACGCTGCGGCACAAACCGTCATCATTGACTGGAGAGACGGTCGCATTCAAGGATGGACCAGCCCTCCCAAGTACACACCTGCCGAGCCTGATACCACCAAGACAGCACCAGCTACGAAGGGCGGACTCGTTGGCGATCAGAAAGAGATCGTCAAGGAATGGGCTGCGGAGTTCAAGCTTGATGGTCTATGGGGTGATGATTCAAATGATACGGCGGTACCAGAGGCTATGGAGGAGTAGGCAGCTTGTGTTGACTGTTATGGCGAAATGGCGTTCGTAGGGCTACAGTGCTAGTTTACTTGACTCGCACATAGGAAAAAGCTCCGACTAGATATCGGGCCTAACAATGATACATGTTCTTGAAGACGATATCGCAATCCTGATCCTAGACAGTTTAGAGCCTTCCGATGCAAGCCTTGCGATGAGCGTGGGTGGATCGTGTACCGCTACTGACCGAATCAGTTTCTGCGATATCGGATCCGCATCGTACCATAGTACAAGCGAAAAAGTTCTCTCCAAGCTGCAACCCCACACCGACGGGAGTGTTCGGCGATATGTTCGCTCCCATAGGTAGGTTTCGCCGCCCCACACTTTGGGGTGAGAGCCGACGGAAACCGAGAGCTCCATCACGTCAAGCTTCATAGCTCAAGATACATAACGACGCGTTCCTTTGAATTTTTGGGCAGTCAAAATTACCAACACACACACGATGGGTTCTTCAAAGGGTCTCCAGCCTCTGCGCTCTGCTTCCAAGACTTTGAATGCGCTGCCCGCAGCCTATGCTGGCGCGCAGATCGCATCGAGACGGTATGCGGGGACGCTCGCAAACTTCAAGATTCCTACTATCAACAACGAGCCTAACGTAAGATAAGAGACAGTGTATATATTCAGAATCAATTTGCTGACTCAAAATTATAGCAACATTATGCCAAAGGCTCGGTAGACCGCCAGAAGCTTCAAGATGCGGTTGCACGTATGAAGAAGCAAGGACCAGTACAAGTACCTCTTGCCGTAGGAGGAGAATACGTAGGCCTTCCACACGCACATACGAGTCTTGTGTCACTCTAACACCATCCAGATCAACAACTCCTCAATCCTCACCCAGAATAACCCCTCCTCCCACGCCGACGTTATCGCCAAATACTCCAACGCCAGCGCAGCCGATGTGAAGAAGGCCATAGACGCAGCCCTAGCTGCCAAGCCAGCATGGGAGGCACTTCCCTTCGCCGAACGTGCATCGGTGTTCCTGAAGGCGGCCGACCTCGTTGCCACAAAGTACCGATACGAGATCATGGCTGCGACCATGGTGGGACAGGGCAAGAACGCGTGGCAGGCCGAAATTGACTCAGCGGCTGAGCTGTGCGACTTCCTGAGGTTCAACGTCAAGTACGCGGAAGACACATACGGACATCAGCCAACACATAACTCACCAGGAGTCTGGAAGTAAGTAAAGCATCTGGTTGTAGCTCAGGAAAGAAGCTAACAGGTACAGCCGCGTTGAGTACCGACCTCTCGAGGGCTTCGTCTATGCCGTGTCACCATTCAACTTCACAGCCATCGGCGGTAACCTTCCTGCAGCCCCAGCCCTAATGGGTAACGTCGTTGTCTGGAAGCCATCCCCATCTGCGATCGCCTCGAACTGGCTTCTTTACCAGATTCTCATCGAGGCCGGTCTTCCACCAAACGTGATCCAGTGGGTGCCCGGTGATGCTGTGGAGGTAACTCAGGAAGTCCTGAACCACAAGCAATTCGCATCTCTACACTACACCGGTAGCACAGCGGTATTCCGTCAACTATACGGAAAGATCGCGAACGGTGTGGCTGAGGGCAAGTACCAGAGCTACCCCAGGATCGTTGGTGAGACAGGAGGAAAGAACTTCCATCTCGTCCACAAAGATGCCGACATCCACAACGCAGCTATCCAGACCGTCCGCGGTGCTTTCGAGTACCAAGGCCAAAAGTGCAGCGCCTGCTCCCGTCTCTACGTACCCGAGTCCGCATGGCCCGAATTCAAAGAGATCCTCGTTCGAGAAGTCGAAGCCCTAAAAATCGGCGAGCCCACCGACTTCTCCAACTTCATCGGCCCCGTCATCCACGAGGCATCCTTCAAGAAGCTATCCGGCGTCATCGACGAAGCCAAGAACGACAGCGAGCTCGAGCTCGTCGTGGGCGGCAAGTACGACAGCAGCAAGGGCTACTACATCCACCCAACCATCTACCGCACCAAGAACCCCAACCACCCCCTCCTATCTCGCGAACTCTTCGGCCCCGTCCTTGTAGCCTACGTCTACGACGACGCTGCGCCCAACGCCTTCGCCAACATCATCAAGCAGATCGACGACACGTCTGAGTACGCATTGACTGGCGCCGTGTTCGCAAAAGACAGGGAGACTATCAAGTACGCGTCTGAGAAGTTAAGGGATGCGGCCGGTAACTTCTACATCAACTGCAAGTGCACGGGTGCGGTTGTAGGTCAACAGCCGTTCGGTGGGTCGAGGGCTAGTGGAACGAACGACAAGGCTGGTAGTGCGAACTTGTTGGCGAGGTTCGTGAATATGAGGGCGATTAAGGAGGAGTTTATGCCTACGGAGAAGGTTACGTACCCTAGCAACGAGGTGTAAGACAGGTTATGCAGGAACAGTTGATGGTGAAAAGCATGGCATGTTTAGCTAGCATTGGCGTTGGCGTTGGATACAAACGATTTATGATTAAAGGAAAGATTTGTATGGAATCAGAATGACATAAGTTATGTATCAAAGGTTTTGTTAAAAGTCTGCATGCGTGGTACTGGCATGTAACATAAAAAAGATGTCTGTACAACACAAAGCAAGGCTCATCGCAGATAAACCCTCCCTCTTTTGATTCGTGTGAAAGCAGTACAAAGCTTCAAATATATCGTGAAGTAACATCAATCATCTCAATCCCCACTCCTACGTGCGCATAGGTGCGATGAGTTTGAGAGCGCAGGACGAAACCTTGGAACAGTCGGTCTGCAACAGTCTATACGGAAAACACCCCTATTGCGGTGTACAACTGCCTCTAGTGGCGTTGCGAAAGCCTGATATATTACAAATGCAGATGCTGATGCACATTTCGGAATGTCCATTAATGTGCCTACTGGATAAAGTTGGTCTACCTTTTCTGTGGCTTGAACTTGGCGAAATTGCGGATACTACCTAGGTAGACAGCTGCCTTAGGCTTCATCGACTAGAGGATTTCATTGGAAGAAGACATTGAATAGATGCACTGCAGTCTAAATTGGTATCAAGTTGAACGTTGACAAAGCTTGACGCAATGTAGGTGGCTGTTCGATCTTTTCCATGAAGAGAGTGAGAGACTCAGTTAAGAAACCCAGCCTCAAACCCAAACACAACTTATCCAAAGCAACAACATGTACATGTGCCTCGGCAACAACAACACAGAAAACGTTGAGAGATGGGTCCAATCTCACGACGCGGCTCAACGCACCTTCTAGAACCTGCATGAGTCGTGATACCGACCCACCAGCTATCGGGAGCCCCGTTCGTTTCGAAGCGAACCTTGCAACCTTATTTTGGAGCCGCAATGCACGGGGGCGTTCGAGCAATTTCCAGAAGATAGGGTGAAGATGCGGCCGTTGGCATCGTGATTTGCATTGTCGGGTCTGCTTAGAAAATGCGTATTTGTGTGACACGAAGGTATCCAACAGATAGGTTTGCGGTCTGCGTAGCGACGAGACTGTGATGCGATTATACCCCGAATTCCGGGTCGGAATCGGGACAGCACATCTTGGTCCGAACCAGCGACCAGGGTGGAGCGGAGCGGATTGTGCTGAGGAATCAGTACCGCATCTTATCGTGCGAGGTACCGTTTTGGTGTCATGTAGCGAGTGTGAGATGAGATGAGCCTCGTATGCATACAAGCTTAGTGAAGACTGCGTTGTTGAATCACCTCGGTCGTGGTGATGGAGTTAAGCAACTCTTCACGATGAATCAGCTTCAATCATCAGTAAGCATCTCCATATCCATGAAAACAAACACGCGTACGCCCCTCTTTTCAGATCTGTATCTTGGAGGAGAAGGAGAATTTAGAGGCCGACGCCGACTCTCCGCCCACCATCCGCACGTTAACTCCAGACAGCGGAACCCGCGAAAATCTCGTCCTCAAGGACTTTCTAAAAGTAAATCCCTGGAACACCCACAGGGTAACCTCGGCAGCTCGGTACATTCTCCTTCGAGATCGAAAACCCTTGTCAGAGCCCTATGATGCACTGTCCGCGATCTGCAACATGCATAGCGGCACCTTTTCCCAGCGCCGGAATCCCTGCCGTGTTCGGCGCCTGCTCTGCATTGCGTTGCTGTGATTGGCTCCGGGGGCCAAGCTTTCGAATGACCTGGCTGCTTCGAGCCTAGCGCGACGCTTCGGCCGAGCAGACCTGAGATTTTTGATCATGGTGTCATCGCCTCATGGATCGCACGTTGCAAGCGGATTTCTGGAGCGTTGCGCGCGAGTCGGGAATGGAGACGGATCCAGATGGTTGGGCAGTCGCCCGGTTTGTTTTGTCCTGGTTACGCATTTGCTAGTGGCTTCTCTTACCGCTGCATCGCATGACTTGTGCGCGCTGCCCGCCGTGTGTGTGTGGCTCTTTATATGTAGCGTCTCCCGCGGTGATCTCCCTGCTTCCTACTCCGAGGTTACTTTTCGTCTATTTCCTTCCCTTAGATATCCTTTTAATATACCTGGGCTTTGTCCCTACGTCGCTTCCGTTTTATCCTTTCGACGAATATCATCCATCAATCTACGAAGCCGACACATCGAATCGATCGCATTATCGCAATGGAGAAGGACCAACAGGTCGCCGACCGCTCTGCGGCGAACAGCAGTAACGGAAGCAATATGGATGTCGAGTCTGGAAGAGAAGGCATCTCGCATTGGAAGATGATCACGGATCAGGGTGTTGTGACCAAGGAGATCATCAACTACGACTATGAGGGCGAGGGAACAGAAGAGGATCCCTACGTTGTGGAGTGGATCGACAACGACCCCAGGAATCCAATGACCTGGCCCAAGACGAAGAAGTGGATCATGGCCATTGCGGTCGCCAACTCGGTTCTCGTTGTATCATTCTGTTCATCGGCTTTCTCTGGAGGTATGTATTGCGCGAACCGATAGGATATGGAACAACGTCTGACATCTGCTAGGTATCCAGCAAATCATGGCTGAGTTCAGCGTCAGCCAGGAAATCGTCACACTCGGTGTATCGCTCTTCGTTCTCGGATTTGCCCTTGGCCCTCTGCTATGGGCTCCCTTCTCGGAATTGTACGGTCGCCAGATCGTCTTCGTCGGGACATACACTGCTTTCATGGCCTTCAACGCTGGTGCCGCTGGTGCGCCCACCATTTACGGCCTGCTCATCCTCCGATTCTTCGCTGCCGCTTTCGGTTCCAGTCCTCTTACCAACGCTGGAGGTGTCATTGCCGATCTCTTCTCCGCAAATGAGCGCGGACTGGCCATGTCAATCTTCTCCGCTGCGCCGTTCATGGGTCCCGTTCTCGGTCCGATTATTGGTGGCTTCTTGGGCATGACTGAAGGGTGGAGATGGGTCAATGGACTCATGGCTATCTGGGCTGGTGTCATTCTCGTCATCACTACCTTCCTCGTCCCTGAGACCTACGCGCCCGTTCTGCTCAGGAAACGTGCTGAAAAGCTCTCGAAGCTGTCTGGAAAGGTCTACCGATCTCGCACTGATATTGATCAAGGCAAGGTTTCGCTCGGAGAGGCTTTCGCAACTGGTCTCAAGCGTCCCTGGATCCTGCTCTTCTGCGAGCCCATCGTTCTGCTCCTTTCTCTCTACCACGCTATCATCTACGGTATCCTTTACATGCTCTTCGGCGCTTTCCCCATTGTCTACCGTATCGGCCGTGGTTGGAACGAGGGTATTAGTGGTCTGCCTTTCGTCGCCGTCGCTATCGGTGTCTTGCTCGCTATCACATACGTCATCACGGTCGACAACAAAATGTACATGAAGAAGGTCAACGAGTCCGGCCGCGGATTCGCAGCTCCAGAAGCACGTCTGCCCATGTGCATCATCGGCGGTATCGCGCTTCCGATCGGTCTCTTCTGGTTTGCATGGACCAACTCCCCATCGTTGCCATGGGCCGCCAGCGTAGTCGCTTCCATTCCCTTCGGTTTCGGCATGGTGCTCATCTTCTTGTCCATCATGAACTACCTCATCGACTCGTACACCATCTTCGCCGCATCCGTCCTGGCCGGTAACGGTATCATCCGTTCGATTTTCGGTGCTGCTTTCCCCCTCTTCACCTCGCAGATGTACAACGGCCTCGGTATCCACTGGGCTTCATCCGTACCCGCCTTCCTCGCCGTCGCCTGTCTCCCGCTCCCCTTCCTCTTCTACAAGTACGGCAAGACCATCCGCGAAAAGTGCAAGTACGCCGCACAATCCGAGGCCTTCATGGAGCGCATTCGCAATCAGCAAGCTGCAAAGGCCGCACGACAAGCCGCAGGTGTCGAATCGGAGGATACCTCGCGCGCCAACACTCTCACACCTCAAGAGGAAGTTGAGGAGGAGGCTCACGAGGAAGAGTCCGCACCCAAGTTCGAGGAGATGAAGACCGAGAAGGAGACCGATGGCGAGGGTCTCAAGAAGGTTCAGACTGGCCGTTCAACAAGAAGTCGGAGAACAGTCAGGGATCTCGACTTTAACCCCAACCCGTTCGATATCGACCGCGTCAACACAAGGGAAAGCTTTATTACTAGGCCGAGAACGAACAGCCGGGCGAGTAGCAGGAAGTAGATGTTTGTGTTTTGTTGCAGCGTTTTTACGGTCGAAAAGTTGAAGGTGCATTTTGACGCATGGCATCAGCATTGTATACCCCTCTCCTATTATCATTAGTTAATACAAGATCAACGATATTCAGAACATGCTCCTCTGCTTCTTTCTCGTGATTCTGCTCACATGTGTAGTGGTCGCACTGGGATGGTCGGATTTGTCGCATCTTGCCAATATACTTGACCAAGTACTACATATAAATGTAGATTACACATTGCCTCGTGTAATGTCTACTTGTCAAAACGTGGCACTGTGTGTGCTGCAACACAACTCCTGTCATTCCCTCATTGGGATGGTGAGATCGCCCTTGCATGGTTCATCCTCGGCGATCATCATCAGCCGCGGCCAAGGCATGCAAGTGTCGTATCAGAAACCGTCCGCACAGCACTCTTCTAGACACGTAACACGTTGCGCAATATGCAATCGCATCGGCCCTTCCCCCGCGCATCTCGCCCATCGCATCTGGCCATGGAAAGCGTCCATGTATATTCCCTTAGCTTCTAGCCGCCTTCCTTGAGCGCGCATCAGCAATGCCACGCGTGCGCACTCGACACGTCGTCCTCAGCGTCTCAATCCTCTGCTGGATATACTACTTCCTTCCCAAAGACGAAGCCTTCCCGTCTCGCCATGCCGTACACGATCATGGGTCCACCGCCGCGTTGGCGCGCTATATGAATGATCCATCTCAGATCCCGCTTATCGTTGCGACGCCGAGTAGCTTCGACTGGAGTTCTGTCAACTTTACCTTCCCACCACCGCAAACACCCAAGCTTCCTCCGCCTGTTACGGGTCGTCCTCGCATACAACACGAATTCAAGCCTGATTCAAAGGATGTGCATACCATACAAGAGGGGAGACGACGATATGTGAAGAGGGTATTCGAGAAGAGCTGGGCAAGCTATAGGAGCAAGGCATGGATGAAGGATGCCCTGAAGCCTATAAGTGGAGAGTATGTCGACCAGTTCTCTGGCTGGGCTGCAACTTTGGTGGATTCACTAGACACACTCTGGATGCTCGGCATGCGCGATGAATTCTACGAAGCTGTCGAAGCAGTAGCGACGATCGATTTCGGCAAGTCTACGGCACCAACTGTCAATACGTTCGAGACGTGTATACGGTATCTGGGCGGGCTCCTTGCTGCATACGACTTGAGTGGACACGAGGTGCTGAAAGCGAAGGCAATTGAAGTGGGCGACTTGCTGTATGGCGCTTTCAACACCGAGAATGGCATGCCTGTCGACTTTATCAACTTCGAAGACGCGAAGCAAGGCACTGGTTTGATGGTTGAGAATCAGGTGGTCAGTGCTAGTCCTGGTACCATTACACTCGAGTTCAGCAGGCTGAGCCAGATTACCGGAGACGATAAGTACTATGCCGCTGTGTCGAATCTGATGGATGTCTTTGCCGAGAGTCAAAACGCGACGAAGCTGCCGGGCATGTGGCCCATGATGGTACATATGAGCGCAAAGGACGTCGTCTCTGGGTATCAGTTCACGATAGGCGGGAATGCAGATTCACTGTATGAGTACCTGCCAAAGGCGCACGCTCTGCTTGGTTCGAAGGAACCCAGCTCGAGTAAATACGAGGCCATGTCACGCGCTTTTATGGATACGGCGATGAACAACTTGTTCTTCGCGCCTATGATACCAGGGAAGGAGGATATTTTGATCTCTGGTAATGTCGATGTTCACGCGGATGGTCCTAGTCTCGACCCTGAAAGCGAGCATCTGTCTTGCTTTATTGGTGGTCTTTTTGCGCTTGGCGGGCGCCTGTTCAATAACGACGAGTACCTCGATACCGGAGCGAAGCTTGCTCGCGGCTGCGCATATGCTTATAAGGCATTTCCCACTGGCATCATGCCAGAAAGGTACAACATGGTTCTATGCCCCAACTCCGATCATCGCAAACCCTGCGCTTGGGACGAAGAGCGCTATGCTGTAGATGCAGCAGCACGACCACAACACAAACCCCATCTACCCAAAGGCTTCACCACTGCCAAAGATCCCCGTTACATCCTGCGACCCGAGGCCATTGAATCAGTTTTCATACTATGGCGTATCACAGGCGATCCCATCTGGCGCGAGACAGCATGGCAGATGTTCGAAGCCGTATCCAGTGCAACAGACACAGAACTTGCGAATGCTGCGATCTTGGACGTTACAGTCATCGGATCGAAGAAGGACGATTACATGGAGAGTTTCTGGATGGCCGAGACGCTCAAGTACTTTTACCTGTGCTTTGCCGATACGGATTTGATTAGCTTGGATGACTTTGTGTTGAACACTGAGGCACATCCCTTTCGGCTATCCAAGTGGTAGGTGACGCGTATGTAACTCTGAATATGATGGAGGAAGTTTGTTGTCGTATTAGTCCCATACGTGCCCGCAACATCCATGGAAGACACATGCTGTGATCGGCGGAACTGCGTGAACCCTCGCAACAAGACGCGAACGCGACGTTAGAATAAGCGACAAAAACAAAGGCCATCGCCACTTACAGTCAGCGTACACTTCACCCTCCATCTTGCACAACACCCAAACCCCCTACGCACATTACGCCCTCAATGTTCTCGACGCCCATAGAGCCCATGCCGCAACTCCGCAGCCCCACTCTTCAAGCATGTCAAGCATGTGGCGGCGCAGGCCATGATTGGTGTACCTGACCACGGCCGATGTTTCTAAACCAGGAACACACACGAGCCTAGCGTGTGGATGCGCGGCCCCCTTGAATCATCCCCTTCCAACCCCAGGCACCAAGACCTTTCTTTTCCCTCTTCATCTCTCTTTAACCAATCTCCCCACGACTCTACGTCACAGTCATTCTTTCTTCGGTTGGAGAGTAAATACCTACACTCGTTCTTTTGCTGTTGATATTACGGGCCTCCGTCGAACTCTTCAATCTCACATAGATCCGCCCGTTTGCCAACTTTCGCACCACCCACCCATTACATCACTACTATAATCGAAGATGCGTTTCTCGATCGTCGCCGCTGCGCTTGCAGCTGCTCCTGCAGTTGTCTCGGCTGCTGAGAAGGGAAAGATGGGATGGGCCCTTGGAACGAAGATGGGAAGCGGAGAGTGCAAGACGCAGGCAGACTACTCGGCCGACCTCAAGGCTATCAAGGATAACTCTGGCTCAACCATTGTTCGTGGTTACTCTGCTTCGGACTGCGATATGGCTAAGACCGCCCTCCCGGCCGCCAAGTCCGCAGGCTTCAAGGTCGTTCTGGGTATCTGGTATGCTTCGCCCCTCCCCAAACCTCAACTAACACAATCAAGTAAACTAACATATGAAACCACAGGCCCGATGTCGAGGAGTCCTTCAACAAGGACCTCAAGGCCATTACGGACGTAGCCCAGCAATACGCCGACACCATCTACGCCGTGACCGTCGGCTCCGAGACACTCTACCGCGGCAACTTCACCGGCGAGGAGCTCGCCGGCAAGATCAAGACGGTCAAGTCCAAGCTGCCCTCCGGCATCAAGGTCGGCACAGCAGACTCGTGGAACAAGTTCGCCGACGGAACCGGTGATGCCATCATCGGCACCGCCGACATCATCATGGTCAACGCTTTTGCCTTCTGGCAGGGCGCCAGCCGCGACAACGCTACGTACGTATCCCTACATCACACATACACACGAGAAAAGAATTGTAAACTAACATCTCCACAGCCACGTCTACCTCGACGACATGTTCCAAGCCACCGCACACATCGAGAAAATGGCCGGCGGCCGCGAAAAAGCACCCGAGATCTGGACTGGCGAGACTGGCTGGCCCACGGCCGTTGGCACCGACTACGACGAGGCCAAGGGCGGTCTGGACAACGCAAAGCACTTTTACCAAACCGGTTTCTGCGCGCTGCTCGACTGGGGTTTCAACGGCTTCTACTTTGAGGCGTTCGATGAGCCGTGGAAGCCTGCGTCCATTGGTGATAATGGAAAGGTCGCTGATGAGACGACTTGGGGTGCTATGACTGCGGACCGCAAGACTAAGTTTGATCTCAAGTGCGGTGTTAAGGCTTAGATACAATGCCGACAAGGATTGTGTGTGTGGTGAATATAGACGGTGTGAGAAATGTTGGTACATGTCGATAATAGGATGTGTACGCATATAGAGTATAGACGCATTGCTTTTCCGCAAGGAAAGGCCACGGCCGGTTTATTGTTCAATGTATTGTGCAGCCTGATATTGCTGCGAACACGTTTTTTGACCATATGCCCTCTGGGACTATCACTAAGCTTGGAAACTACACAAGAAGGCCTGCTCACACAGAAACGTACATAGCTTGCCTGACAGTCAGGTAATAGAGAGACTCGTTGGGTGCATTGTACTTGCTGCATTCCATCCAGCCACGAAGTCAAATCTTTGTACTGATGCCAGGCTTGAACTGGCGTCCTATGCGAAAGCCAGATAAAAGAGAGACTCTTGTGGTTATCTGTGTACTGGCATTAAGTCTGTCAAGCGTGAACGCATTCTTCGTCAAAAAGATAGCTTTGCCTAGGCGAAAAGATACCCCAGCCCCACCAAAAACAAAAAATGTTCGATGCACTCTTACGAGCGCCGACGAGCTTGACTCATCGGAGGTTTGAACTCCGGACCTTCAGTGTCCTAACGAGCTGTGAAGCTCTTGTTAGACTGACGTGATAACCAACTACACCAACGAGCCTTGTTTGATGCAAGAATGGGATTTTCGAAAATACAAGACCCCGAAATTTTGGGCGTAGGACGGTAGCAACAGCTTCATTTCTGCTTAAGAAGGGCAGTAAATCTATGAGGTAAAGGTATCCATACAGGTAAGATGGGGGTGCGAACGCGGAAGGGAAAATTTTCGGCAAACGTCGACATGGCGTCCTATCAAAACTGACCTAGCCCCACCAACTCCACATCGCGACAACGAGCTATACTCCAACACTTATAAACGATAAACAGGCTGCTCGATTTCCATACCCGGTGTTGACACTACAGAACTGGGGGCTGAGCCCCCTGAGAAGAGACTTGAACTTCTCGAGCCCGCCAAGGACAGTGGATTTGAATGCGAACTGGATGGCGTTCGCGACAGCGCATACAGAGATTCATAATCTGGCGCAAACTCTCGCGACGGCTCTCTTGGTGTGTACTCTGGTAGCTGTTCAAAGTCCTCTCTGTCTTCCAGTGGTGGTAGGCGTTCGCGGGGTATGCGAGGTAGAATTTCCAAAGGTGTGCTGGAACGGATGGTGAAGTGCTGATCGTTGTATTTGATGCCGATGGATATAGCAAGTGCGTACCGTCGAGTGATGGTGTATGTTTTGAAGGTTGGCACACATTCCGTGTCATCGATGAGACGGAAGTTTGATGTTAATGTTGTCGTTTTGTTGAACGGTATTGGTCTGTTCATGCCGGTTCGCGATATGCAGGTAATATGCTTGGATACAACGTCCTCGGGGTCCGTTACGGTGTTTCCGCACTTTGTCGTTGAGTATGTTGAGATTGTGACCGTTAAGGAGTCGATGACGCATTCCCGCTCGGCATGGTTGGCGGGGTCTCGCGCGTTGAGTAGGCTGAGTGACAGCGGCATATGCTGTCCTGGGCACACCTTTTCGGGGTGGTTCAGCGTGGGAATGATCCGCGGCGTTGAGTTCATAGAGACGCCAGAGAAGACTTTCTTGACTCGAGATCCATCCTTCTCTTTATTCGGTTTCCAGACTTGGCGGTGGAGCACAGAAGATTTGACTTGCGCCCTTCGTGGTATGTCCGCTAACGTTCTTGGATGGTATCGTAGTATGTGTTTACACCTCTTAGTCTCTGTCGACCCACTGAGAATGAGTCTGGCCTGGATAAAGTACGATATCTGTGCCGCACCGCCTGGCCCACTGGTCTTGAGTTGGAAGGACGGCGGAAGTGGATGTGGCTCGCGAAGATAGTTGCAGCCACGGACCATGCCCTTCATTTGAGGTTCAGTCGACTCTGGAAATATAAACTCAAAGTCCCATGAATACTTCCGCGGTCCAAGGTTGCGACAGGAAACCAACTCTTTCTCGCGGTTGAAGAGCCGTATCTTCTCCTCGTATTCATGACTTTGTGCAGGTGGGTGGGTTTTCGTGTTCACGTGTAGAGGTCTGGATGTCTTGGTGACACAACTACCCGCAAAAACCACCTTCAGCGACTCAATGTCTTCCTGCTCTTCTACTGCCAAACATATCTTTCCAGTGACCTTTTCTCCGCTCCTATACGTCTTGCTGCTATCGCCATCGATAATAACCCTCAACGCTGGCACCGTCATTTTTGCTGGGGAGAAGAAGAGATGATCAGCAATGCAGGGACCTCGCAGGACTTAATAGCGGATGGGTGGTGTGGACGATTCGCTCAGGTTCCAGGCACGCGGTTATCGGTGCAGTCCAAACTAGGAGAACGTTTGCCGGGGTAGGAGGTATGCCAAGGATGAGAGGATTTGCTGGGCATGCAACTGCGATAGTGATAACGGAAGGTGAAAGGTGCAATCCGCCCAAGAAAGGGAGGCTGAGTGCATGAGGATATTGGGCCTATATGTTGCTTACCGTTGGCTTTGCGCGTACCTTGCCATTTCGAACGTCATCTGGTTGCCAAGGATCTACCTTGAAGCCTTTGGGTTGAAGGCATGATGTATGCGCATACGTTGTTAGGGCTGCGCTGTCAACCCCTAGATGGAAGGGATGTTCGTGGTAGGCGTAATCGTGAACCAAGCTACCCGTTTCATCCCTATCCTGATCATATCGATCGTCCACGAATTGTCCAACTTACACCGCATCACTTTTACAGGCCCGAATACTCAAGAGCCCTTTGCAGCCATTCTTCCGCAGAGTGCTGGACAGCGGGATGCAGCCAAGCAGGCCATGTTGTCTTGGCTGGTAGTCTGGATTCAGCCACGCTGATACCCCAGATCCGCCCCGCTAGCATCTGTAGAAGAACCTTCGACATGGTAGCAGAGGAATGGTTGTCTCCACATATACTCCGCGTTCCAAAATCTGGAGATCAAGCGATCTGTTAGCGACGCATATTGCACCGGCTGTTACGAGGGATCAACGTCAAAAGTTTGGCGAGAAGCAGAGAATGGGCGGGGTTTCTTGAGGCGTGCCACATCCAGCAACGGCGCCGCGGTAGGTGCTCGCTTCGAGGTTGGGTACGCTCGAATGGCTCTTGGCCTCCACAAGACGACGATTGGCGGACCGATTTGCCTGTGCTGCTCGGGGAGAACGAGAGTCCAGCTGTTCACTTCTCCGGAGGCGGGTTTGTTGCCCGCTTCGCCTCGTGCCACGATAACGGCATCCTGGCGTGAACACGGGAAGTGCGCCTCTGGTGAACATGCAATGAATGTTGTGAGCTGAATCCGGCGACGGCGTAGCGTTGGTGTAGATGTGGAGGAAGGACCACTCTGGGCTTTAGTTTAGTGGGGTTTTCAGATCGCACTAGGGCCGCACGTGGCGAGGTATCGATAAGGGACAGGACCTCGGGAGCCATCGTGGCATCTGAACATGCGGCTGACATTACACCAATTGCCTTGGTCTTTAGAATCGCAAAATCCTGCTACTACCTTGTTCTCATCTAGCTTTGTGTTTGACGCTGCTTCCAAACCTTATTTAGTTACAAGAAACTTGAGGGAAATGAGAAAGGGTCACTGAGAATACGTAATTCTAGTAATCGAAGGTTGGTGTTGATGAGAAGACAGTTCGAAGATACAAACTAGACTGCATCGACTTAAATGCGATTCATCCTCAGCGTCTGTGGTGTTGATGCCAACATCGCCTGGGCATACCTGGCCGCGTCGAGGTAGAAATGATGCGCACCAACTGATGTCTGGCCCTGATATTGATGCGTGAAGAACGTCACTCAATCAATGAAGTTTCCAGCAAAATTGTAAATAGAATTCGGTAGCCTTTGCTCCGTACAGAACTTGTGTGCGCCTACCAGGTGTTGCGAAATTTGGAGTACCTAAACCCACAAAAGTGTAATTCTTGCGCAAGCTTGATTCGTGTGCTACTTTTGTTGTAGCTCATGGGCATAACATCGAGCCCTATTTCATGTCACGGATTGCTCCAAGTATGTGATATTGGTGGTTCTGGTGATGCAGGAATGCCTCCAGTCGTCTTTCGGTAGTCGCGCCCAGACCTCAACGCGTGCTCACGCGTCAGGGTCCACTAAAACTATCCACGATCGCATCGCACCTTCACGCTCACCACTCCAAAGACAGTCACCCCGCAATCGCATACTCGCTATCTTTCGAACGAAGTCGTCTTCAGATCCTCACATACAGCATCACGCGACACAATGCCGCCTAGGAAGAGCAATGTATCGGCGGTGTCAAACGAAGAGAGTCCCGCACCACCCAGATCAGTGCCCAGAGAGGAGAGCTTGGGTGTCGAGGTATGTCGCATGCGACTGAGGTCAATTGGAAGAGACTAGTACTAATGACGCGACCATAGGATTTAAACCTGCCAAAGTCTATAGTCCAGCGCCTGGCAAAAGGCGTCCTACCACCAAACACCCAAATACAAAAAGATGCGCTCCTTGCTATGAGCAAAAGCGCAACTGTGTTTGTCAACTACATCACATCAACGTACGATCCCCCCTCTCTCCCGGCAACAGAAGACTTCCGCGCCAATGGCATGCGAGTTCCCATAAATGGACATTTACTAACAACCATGCAGCGCCGCCGAAAAAGCCCTTGCCAGCGGCAAGAAAACCGTCATGCCGAAAGACGTCTTCGACGCCATGACGGACCTAGAATTCGCCTTTATGCTGCCCCGCCTCGAAGCCGAAGTCACAAAGTTCACGTCGATACAAGCCGACAAGCGAAACACGTACAGGAAGAAGGTGCGCGAGGAGAAGAAAGGCACTACTGCTTCCACCGATGCAGCGACCTCGACACCTGCCAAGTCAGCGGCAAACGGAGACGTGGTTATGGAGGGTGCGGATGATGGTGAGAGGGCGACGAAGAGGGTTAGAAGGGAGAGTGGAGATGCTGGGGATGGAGAGGTTACGGAAGAAGAGGGGGATGAGACACAGGATGTGGAGGATGAAGAGGTTGAAGACGACGAGATTGAGGAGGAGGTTGCTGGGGAGGAGTTGACGGAGGATCCGCTGGAGGAGAAGGAGGACAACAAGGATGATGACGATGACGAGGATGGGAATGAGAGCGATTGAGAGTTGGACTTGTCGCGTCTGGATGGGAATATATCACTGCATGGGACGGCGTTCGGGACGAAAGACTAGGACTGGAAGTACGATTTGACACAAGACCTATCGAGGAATGGACTTGAATATGTTGTATTCTTCCTGAGATATGTTGAAGCTGTCTAAGCCCATCAGTCATCTCATTGCACGAAGTCGTTGCATTGCGCATGTGTGTACAGCTCGTAACGTCGGCTACCCAGAATGTCACGCGCAACCTGCAACCATGATACCATATGCTTTGCGCAGCCCCCGTCGTGACCATAGTCTTCGCGTGTATGTTTCAGCGCTCCTCCAGCATGTTCATGGACTGCCTTCAACGCTTCGTCTTCGAGGGTATGCTAGCATCGAGCGGGTCACCGTATCGCACTACATGTCTGTTAGCATAATTCCCCATGGCAAGTTAGAATCCACTTACGCCTAATCATAGAGCCCTTATCAACAATGTTGTCCAATGCCCTAGCCTCCTCCTCCCTCGCCCTCGTGTTCTTCCACTCATAGCCCGGCTGATCCTCTTGTTTGCTCCACTGATAACCTGTCTCAGCATCCTGATGTGTCCCACTCCCACCCGCACCGTTGCTTGTCGCTGCTTGCGCCATACCGCCAGAAAGTGGTCGCTTTCCGTTAGAATTGACGCCGAGAGTCTCGCGAGTTGTGGATTGTGAGTTTGGTGGTGATATCTCGTTGACGCCTGCGAGGTTGGCGTTGAGCGGTGTGGCTGGGTTTGGAAGAGCTTCGTCGGGGAACATTTCATCGTCCGAGGCAACATTGGCGGGGGACGATTGCATGGTGGAGTCGCCGTCACGGTCTGAGGGGTGGGTTAGCTGGATGCGCGGTCGTTTGTTGGACATGGTGGGTGGTTGGCGCGTAGTGTAGGCTTACCTGACATGTTGAAGGAATTTACCGGGGTAGTTCAAGGGCGATAACGGCGGTGAAAGGGTTTGCGACGCGTGTGGTTCGTCGCGGTGGAAGGCAACAGTGAATGACATAGCGGTGGGGGAGCTAATCGCGGCCCGCCGCAGGGGTCAAGGTGGGGACTTTCGAAATATTGGCGACATCATACCTTGGAACTAATCACTCCTCCACGCGACTCAAGCTTTTGAATCAACACCTCCTCTACTATCGCCAGACAGAGCACCCACTCATAGAGATCATGGCGCCTAAGAATACACCCGCCGATGCTTGGGAGGACGACTGGGAATCACTCGCCGACGTACGTATGCCCCTCTTCTTCGACAGCAACGCGCTCACAACGTATAGAAAGAAGACGAGAAGCCCGTAGAAGAGCAACCAAAGAAGCTTACAAAAGCGCAACTCAAAGCTCAACACGCTGAGCTCAACAAACAGCTTTGGCAGGCGGCGTAGGTTGCTAATCCCCATTATCAGCAACGCGACCTGACTGGAACAGCGAAAACCCAGAGCCTCAATGGTACCCTGAAGTCCACCCCGCGCCCGTCGCAGCAACCTTCAAGCCAAAAGTCACGATGCTTGCGCGCAAGCCAACCCCTCAAGTGCTCTCCCGTAACATGGCAGGCATGAGCCTCGACGACGACGACGACAGCGAAGAAGAGCGACGGAAGAAAGCAGCAGCAGACTTCGAAGAGCGCAAAGCACGTGCGCAGAAGGAACGAGCAGAGAAGGAGCGCAAGTACGCAGAAGCACGAGAGCGCATCTTCGGCTCACCAGCTGCCTCCGCTGCAGAGGACTCGCGCAGCAACTCCCCGAACAAAGCTACCCGAGGGAAAGGACGAGGACGCGGTGGAAGGGACAGCCAGCCTAGATCGAGCAACGAGCAGTCGCCTGCACGTACAGCACATGCAGCTCCTGCGCGCCAACTCTTCGACCCTACCTACACCCCAAAGCCCGGCTCCGTATTCATACAGAAGAAAGAATCCGGTATCAGTCGCCCATCTACACCAAACACACAAGAGAAACCTGTTCGTCAGCCACAAGGACCCGCAAGAGGCGGTGGACGAGGCTTCGCTCCAAGAGGAGGATACGGTACCCAGGCAGGTCCGTCAACTTGAGCTTGCGGAGGCTTCTGTCACCTCATACAAGAAAAAGACTGAACAGGCCTGCGGACTACATCAAGACAAAGGCCTGCAAATTGGGTGGCCCAACGTCAACGTAGGCTCTAGGGTGTTCAGTTTTTTCCTCGGTTGGCGTGGACCGACCTCTTCCGCGTCTATCCTCTGAGGCGTGGATGTCTCTTGTCAGGACCTTTGTTGACGAGGAACAGAGGCACTAGGGAACGAGTGACCGCTGCGTCCAGGACTTTCCGAAGAGCTTCCGCACAATGGCTCCACAGCCACCTGAACAGTCAATCGAGCAGTCAATTGATGAGCTTCCGCCTCCTGCATGGACTTACGCTCACACCGCGACGCTACAGAAAGACATCGCCAGATTCACCTACTTCATCAATCATCAAGTCGACAACATCTCAGAGCACGACCCCAGGCCGCAGGAGCTACTCAAGCTTATAAAGAAGGAGGTGGAACTCGACGACATGATGGGCCATATTGCTGCTCTTCACCCGCAGGTGATCGATTATGGAGTCGCTGGGGAGATTCAAGGGGTCGCACAAGAAATCCCTACGAAGAAGGGAGTTCTTCCTGAACACCTACAGCCACCGTACCGTGACACCGAGAGGAAACAGAGGTCACGCGAGAAGACTCGGATGCTGAAGCATCCAGACAGCACGCCGGAGACGAGCGGTTCATGTGAGACCCCCGAGACCAACACACCCGAATCGGCTGAGGGAAGTCACCATGATGAAGGAGACAAGGATCACGTGCCGTGAGAAGATGAGGGTTATGAGAGTGGTCATCATCGGATAGGAAAGGGCTTGGGTCATTTTCATACTAGAATTGGAGAATGGTCATCACTGGGAAGGGAAGGAAAGGGCTTCAGACGTTTTCACATCAGAATACTGCATTTGCTAGTATTATAACGAGAATATCGTATGACACTGTTGGATCGTATCTATGACATGCGATTGAGATGCTTGGTAGCATAGTAACTTCGAGTTCAGCAAGTACAGACTTGCTTTTGGTGCTGTAGGGAAAGTTGAAGGTGGGTCTTGGGAACTAACGAGGAATGTGCAAGATGTCTGTAATGTACGCAGGATGATACATGCTATTGACTATCTCATTCCCAATTTTTGTGGTCTATGCTATTCAACAATGGTGTCTTATTAAATAATGGTGATGGTCTCAACCGGCGCATCGCTGTTTTCAACATCTTTCCAAGGGAAGACATTGGCAAGACTAACGATACGATAAAAGCCCCCTTCTTCCTCGCGAAGAATATGTATATTAGGAATATCTCCAAGTACGCACACCCAGTCACCAGGCTGCACCTCATCCCGACTTGTACCGACGATATCTGTAGCGGTCAGGAAGAAACTCGTAACATTTGGCTCCTGGAGAACTTTGAGATAATCACGGCTCGTTTCTCTTGCCCACTGCCTCACGTCTGTCATATCGCTGGGTAGATGCCCAAGGCCCCGGAAAGCTTTATATGACTTGTACAAATCGCCTTCCAATGTCGTATCATCGTAAAAGAAGGCCCTGTACATTGACATACCACTTGACAGATCGTATACAGCTCTTTCAGCATCCTTATGGCCCCATCGCTCTTTGTCATCAAGCGCTTGTCGGATCGTGTCCAAAGATATCATAACTCTCTCTTCATCTTGCTGGGTGGCCACCGCAGAAGTTGAAAGATCGAAAGCAAACGTCCCTTGCTGAGACTGTAAGCTGCAATCAATACGACTGATTTGAGTAATACGTCGAGCGGATATTTTTAGAGCTTTGCCCCCTCTTTCGGTTTCGCAAACCTCCACAATGTTGTACTCAAGCACAATGTTCTTATGAGGAAAGCCACATATTTTTGTACTAGACCAATCGGGAACCCACGATGGAAGATCATCGTAGTTCACCGAGGGACGCCAATTCTCGCTCAGCCAGTCAACCATCCCAACTTGAATCACAGCCACAGCAAATTCCCTATATACGTCCTGGACTCGTTTGGTGTAATCAACATCGAGCACGCAATCTCCAAGGCTGCTGAGCCTCCCCAATGAACTGTAGATGAAATCTCTTGGATCGGAGGACTCGAAGTCACTACCAAAAGCTAAGTGAATAGCAGCTATTTCGTGGTTTAGGAAGTCGCGTAAAGGAAGAGCTGTTATGGCGGTAAGTCTAGGGTTACGCCCGAATGTCTTGGGTGCTGTTCCTTCCACTATAGCTCTGGCAGTCATGAGCGTGGAGTCGCATGTAAGTAGTTCTTCTCGCTGAACATCGAGTTGGCCACAGACGAATATAACATGTTTGTTTAGGGCAACTTCTTGGCCGACCCACACGCGCTTGAACCATGGGCGATCGAAAAAAGCGTTGATTGATTCAAGAGGCAGAGCTGCAAAACCTTCGCCAAATGTGTGTTCGATGAGTTTCCCATCAGAATCCGTATATTTCTCGGTGTAGCACATCAATTCTCGTAGTGCCACTTCGCTCCCATCTGCTGCAGGTCCAAGCCAAGCAAGGACAAGAGCGGCAGACGCGAAGATATCGCCCATTCGTTGAACTTGTATGTTCTTCTCGCCCAGGTTGCTTTGGTCGATACAGATGGCGTCTATCCAGAATATGATTGTCTTTTTCTCGTCTTGCAGATGCTCCAAAGCGATGGCAAGATTTACAGTAGCATGGAAGATCTTGTCGCCGACAAGGATCGGACGTCGAAGGTCAGGGTCCCCCCATGTGTAAGACAAGCCGATGTAGCAGGGCGCTTGTTCTTCAGCATCTGAGTGAAGCTGACAGCGGACGATGGTATGTCCATCATGGTCGACGTTATGTGTCTTTGGAAGCAGGTAAAGATAGCGAAGTTCCGTACTGGGGTCTTGCAGTGGTTGGTGTTCAAACACTTCGGTATTCTGGATGTCGAATGGCGTTGGATCGATGAGATCGGTGAAACGGTCAGTCAAGGCTGACTTGTACTCGTCGCTTTGGGAGCGGCACGACATCGCGCTTGCTCACATGCCGAGTGATTAAGAAAGTAGCTAGAGAAGAGTGTAGACTGATTTGGAGTATGTTTTGCTTGAAGTTATTGTATGTTGGCAACCTGGAGGTGCAGCCTTGGAAGGAGCCTGAGGTTACCCCGCCCTCACGTGAGAGGCTTTCAATGAGGCAATATACTAAGCTCGATTCGGCAGTGTGAATACTAATAGGCAAGCGCAGCCTCGAGTGTATCTCAGCAGTGATGGTTCTCGTGCCAACAATAACGAAACTGCTGACCATTCTAGACATCTTGGTATTCTGGGCAATCTTGAGTGCACTTGCAGCTGCCAATCTTCCCAAATTTGTATATGTGAACAGAGCACAGCACGCAGTAGGCGGACTTCGTCGTTTCCGATGGCACTCGACTCGTGCTCTTACATGACTTGTAAGAGTGCGTAAGAGCTGTATAGCGGTGGGAATCTAGACGACAGATGCGCACAGGAGAAATATCAAGTGGCCTTGATGTCGACAATATCAATTGTTGGAAGTTGAAGTGTGATTCTATGCTTACTTACTTGACTTACTGGACAAGAGAATCCCCCTACCAGAAGAAATGCAGTACTAGTCCTGTCACGCTGTCTTGATGAAAAGAGCCAAGAAAAGCCTTCTCTGCCAGTATACAGTCTCTAAGACGGTGAGAAGATGTGAGGCGTAGCCGAAGCCGATCGCAAGCTCGAAGAGACTCCATAATGTATAAGCAAGGACTGAAACTGGCATATACCTATGCCCGGTGGAGGTAGACAGCTAGATTGTTGCAAGAGGTCGTCCTGTAAGAGGTCGTCCATCGTCTCCAGTTGTGAAGATCTACCTAAGCGGTCAAGAAGTAAGCAGGTCGAAAATTTTCAAACACAGAATACCTGGATACAAAAGTGAAGCAACAAGCAAATAGCTTGCTACACCACCAATAATCGGAGGTCGCACCTAGTCTCGCGATGCAGTACATAAGCGCAAGTCAATCCCCTCACGCGACAACTCTAACCCCTCCCTAAAGGCCCGTATACCGGGCGGGTACATCAGCTTGAAGTACAAGCTTCCATGTCAACATCGGATAAACACCTTGAGCTGTGTTCCGGTACTGATTGCCCCTCGGAACGGTCAGCCATCGGCGCAGCAAGTACCTGTGCAGAGCCTCAGGTACCAAACACTAGGAGTAGTCTATGGGTGCTTTTCGTGGCAACTCAACACCCCTTCCGCGGCTCTTTTCGACGGTAGACATGCATGCGGCATACCTAATATCCGTGAAGATCGTTTGAGTGTATGGTCGAGTTGACTAACCGTTTTGTCTAGCCTATCCGATCGTACGTCGATCGACGCAAGCCTCGTCATCCGCAGTCGATGTCGTTGAGATAGCCTCTCTAGGCAGCAGGTACTGTAAAGCTGAAGCACTGTCCTTTTTCCACCCGCCCGGCAGCCGCAAAAGGAAGCAAGACCGTTATACGCGTCTCAAGCATCGGCAAGACGGCCATGGAAATCGTAGTCCCGGGGTGGCGCAATAGCAATTCTGTTTAGCGATTGGAGAGATACGCAAATCGTCCTCCGATATCACAGCGACGCCTACCACGATAGGGCAAAAGCAAACGCATGAGACTGGATCTGCCGCCTCACGATAGCAGCGAAGCGGAAGGCGGAGACGCAGGACCCCTCTCACCGACGATTGACGAAAAAATTATCGATACCTCAACACGCTGATCGGAGCTCGTACGCGTTGCCTGAACGACGCACGCAGGGAACGGACGACGTCGGGGTTGGCTTGTCACTCTTGCGGAGCCTCATGCACTTTCCATGCTTCAACCTTGCTTGAAAGCAAATATGGCGGTGGGCGAAAGCTATGACGCAGGACAAAGTCCACCTGTCTAAACTGCTCGTCAATGCAGCGCGCTGCTGGGAGAAGCCTGGTTTCCATGTGGCTCGCTAAACGGACAGGCTTCTTCCCTATACCATGACTCACCGCTGAAGTGGTGCTTTTTCGATGGGCGGGCGGCTGCGGAAGCGCGGAGTCTATTACAATGATAATGTGTGGCGAATATATCAACAGCGTTCACAGGATAGAGAGCTGAATTGCTCGCGTGATCGCCTCGAGCTGTTTCGTCGAAAGAGTCATCGTCCGTGTGGCGAGAGTCGCTAAGTGTTTCAATTATTCGCTATTGTTTGACGGAAGCGGTCAAATCGGAGACGCAGTAAGGCCGCCGGCGGTGACCTGGCCGATCGATGGCGACGAAATGTAAGACGAAGCGGACCAAGGCGATGGTGATGTTTGCCATCGGATGAGCCCCCATCGCGAACGCGTCCGGACCCCCAGAGTGATCAAGGATAAAGTGTATTGCGCGTTGCTTGTGATAATTCGTCCGACGTCCGTGATGTTGAGGCGACATTCCGCCACAGGGGAACTCAACGTTTCGCTTGCCACATCCCTGCAACGCGAATCGTTGTGCGCATGTGACTCGGAGCGTCCATGCCAAGCAAATGCACCGCCACACATGGTCGAGTCTGCGGATACTCGCAATTACGGTGTATTGAATTTGCAATACACGAGCGAATCGTTGGGCTCGAGGAATTTATTCTAGGAGGTGCGTCATGCAGCTAGAGCGCTCGCATGTCTCGATAGCTGTGCTCAGCTTGCGTCGTGGCAGACTAACATGGTTGCCTGCAATGCCTGGCGAATCCGCAGCGCTGCAGACATGAAACTGCATGCGATAGGGCTGCGCAAACTTGAGTGATGCGTCATAGCGATTGGGGTTAGTACTCG